GTTGATATAGGAGGAAGTGGATATGTTGCAGAGTGGAAGCCAAAGAAGTTATAAAGTTGAAGAAAGAGTTAGGAATGCAGAAGAGCAAGGTAGCTTATTGCAGCACGCATTTAATCAGCATTCCGCGATCCGAAAGTCTGCATTCAGCCATCAAGGAAGGAAGTAGGAGGCAGCGGAGTGTCTACAGTTCTGATGATAATGCATATTGACCACCTGATGCATGACAAATCCGCTCAGTTTTGCAAATGCAACTTTAGACCGACAGAATATTTAAACTACATTTATAGAGGTGGTTAGCGCCAAAGACATCAGCGGAGACCATGCAAGCTGCAAAAGCAACGCCGCTATCATAGTGAGGAATCACAAAGTGAATTAAAATGACGGAAGTTTCGTCGCTTATAGGGCACCTCTTAAGATTGTGGAGGAAATCATAGTTAGCGGTGTCACTAGTGATAACAGGAACAGAGAATCTACAAATGCTTTTTAAATACTCCTGTCTTTTCGAAGAAGACGCTGCAAGTATCGGCTTCTCCCTGTCGTGTACAGACGACTCCTTGGCGAGGGCGTGGTTCAGATATGGCGGACTTAAAAAGTTGGCATCAAGGCATATGCGAAGGCGCTGTTATGTGGGTGAAAAAATCAAAATAAATGCATAGTATAAATAATCCAGAGGAACCTTTGACTCATTTTGAAAGGTTACATGAAATCTGTCTCAAGTACTTCAACAGCAGTCTCACGCCAATTAAAGTACATATTTTGGAAATTTTGCTGCAGTTTATGCACAAGAAGTATTTTTAGATACACGCTAATATAAGCACTTTATCTGTGACCCACTAATGTTGTAGCACCTAAAATTTAGTTTTAAAGCCATTATTCTGCAAAACCTGTTATTTGAACGGTCGTAAACTGCAGGTTTCGCCATTTCAAAAGCCCGTTCAACTGTACAACCAGCTATACTACGACATCTTTATCTTCGAGTAACTCTTATACCACCTCACAGTCTGCTTTTTAGTATCCAACCACCTCACCTCTGGGAATGAGTCAAGCGCCTTTAATATTTCCAAGCTGAATACATCGTCATATGTTGACACGATTGTTTACGTCTTCACCACGATTAGGGCAAGCCACATTTTCTATGACCACTTGTTTATAATGATTTCTTGCCTCTGCAGAAACACTGTAGGTGCAAAATGGGGAAGACTTCTGAAAACGTCCTCGGACATTAATGAAGCGTATTTTTACCAATTTTGTATTAGTAAGAAAAAGAAGCATTTCCTTTCAATTAAATAATCTGATAATTTTTCCTTGAAAAAGCAGCTGTCTTAAGTGTTTGACAAAACTTGATACCTGACAAAAATAAAAAGTGGAAACCACCAAAGTAGATAATCTACCCATCGAACAATCTACCTCGATTCCTGGTGTGACAGTGATGTCTGATTTATTTTTCATGGTCTATTTCTGCGAAAATTTTCTTCAAATGACTGCAATGGAACCTGATTAGACAAATATGCAACAAAGGCAAACTGTGTTTTGTTTAAAGAGACGTTCTCAACAATTGCTTTCAGATCCCTGCTTTGGAAACCCATACTCTATCAGTTAACACAACCACTAACTTTCTTAATCTGTATTCTAATCGAAGACAAGTATAGTCGCTTTGGACTGCAAGGTGCACCACACGCGCACATGCGCAACTAAACCAGTCATTAGAAGAATGGACCATGAATGTCATTTATAGAATAACTCACCTTGATTACAGTCACAACCTTAATAAATTCCTTGGAACTTATACAAACAGGCGACCTTCATTATCTAACCTGTCTCAGGCACATAAGCAGACTACGCGCTTCACCATTTGCATGCTAAAGTCCGCCGCTTAAGCCTAATAGGCCAAGGATCTCTTCTAACACTTGATTTTGCAAGAAACAGCACAGAAGGTAGCGCTCCAAAGTGACTTAGTCTTAAGTAAAGCGAGCGTAGCTGTAACTTTTGCCTCCCAAAAATTTTCAATTATCCAGCAATTTAGTTTCTAATCCAATACCTATGTTTTTCCTTCCTTACTTGCTTTTTTGATAAATAGTGTCTGCTGGGTGGGGTGAATTTTACTCTGAAGGTTACTGCAACACATCGTTATTGTTCCTAGACTTTTCCAAATCCATGTTTATGGAATGCTTAGGTAGGAGCTGGCTTTGCCGTTGACGCATAATTTCCCTTTCAAGGTTCAATCATTGTAAAGTTGCCACCAAGGAGGCTGTTTTTGACAAGGTGGTTTTTACTACAACCATTTAGTATGTACTGTCTTTTCATTAGTGAACTTGGGCGTTTGGATCTTACGTATAACTTTGTAGGTCAATCAGAAGAATTGAATTTGTACTCCTTTATGAGCCAGATAATGGGATTGGCTAAACGGCTGATGGTAACGCTAGTAGTGTGATTAGACGTCTAGTCTATAGTGGCGTTTATGCTTACGTGCAACAGCACTCAAAGTTTAAATAAATTTACAACAATGCAGAATCTATAATCGTGATGGCTTTAAACATTCAAAAAATATTGAAAGTAACAAGACTTTTTAAAGGAAGAGAAATGGAACTAAGACGGTGCCGATATTTTATGACGTTAAATTTAATCGTGCATTTCAAACCCGTTTTTTGGCTAAATGGTAAAAATGATTTCAAAAGTTTAAGTAGACATTAAATTGAAGCTACAATTGCTTACTTTGATTGACGTTTTCACCTTGGATGACGAAATCAAGGTTGTTTAGTGCACTTCTTTCTTGGGGTGGAAATAAAACCAAGTTGATTAGTTTCTATTAGTAAATACTACTGACCCTGAATCAGTGCAACTGTCACTGAGACAGACGGAGACTCAGAGCCGAACTCCAATAATATCCGCCCTCTAGCATCCGGCCCTGTACGCTTACTCATTGGGGGAGGGATAGGAAAAAACAACTCATTCACAGACAAATTTGTCTTCCAGCTAAAATATCGAGAGCTTGCTAAGCTCTACACTACTCGCTCACTCAATGTTAAGTTATAAGTACTGCTGACCAGCCTATCTGAAGCAGGTGTGTGTAGGCATAGGCAATTAAAGGCCCCACAAACTACTACATGAAGCTGCGAGGGACAAGCCACCATGGTCCCTAAATACTAAACACTTTCAAATAACGCAAATTTTACACCGACCTTATAGCATATACCACGATATGCCATGTAATTCCATAAATTCGCATGCTATTAGTGTCATTCTAATGTGGGAGGCAAAAATTTAAAAATAAACTGGTCATCAAAAGATATTTATTTATTAAGTTTATCGGGTCAACCTTCTAGACTCGTTTCCCATCAGGTTAAATTTTAAGCTGCCCAATAGTGCAATGTGAATTGGTAATCCGTGTAGATGTCTTAGTGTTTCCTCCTACTAGGTGGAATTTGTCCTTCCTACTCATCCAAACCAATTCAGGTGGTCAGATTTCTTGGATAAGTAAGGAGTCGGCCTTCAAAAGTGAGCAAGGGGTAAAGCCATACTTGTGCAGTTTGCGTAAGGGCCGAT